CCAAGTACCCGTCTGCAACATGATCACTACGCACAACGGAAGCTACAAGCCCATGGTCATCCCAGACTTCCCCATCTATGTCCCACAAGTTGCGGTTCATATAGAGGGTCAAGAAATCAGGCTGCGAATGGTCGAGCCGTTCGAAACGAAGATGCTTTTGGTCCAGCCTGCTGCCTCCGTTTATCCAGCTCTCTGCAGTGGCAGGGTCACACGTAGCATAGAGGGGAACGCTAACGTAGCGCCAGGTGCCCCTACCTCCACTTTTTGCAAGCTGCACATGTGACCTCTCTTGCCCAGTTGCTGCTGTGTCAGGCTCCTCCTCAGCGTCATCTGTGTGATTGCCTGCTGCCGTCTGCTCACGCATGGACCTGAGAGTTCCTGCCTGAAGATTTGGGCCAATTCTGAGCATAGCTACCTTGGGCTTGCTATCGTCAACTCCCAGCAACTTTTGTGCCTCCGCCCCGGGTTTAGCCTTTGGCTTCGGTTCTGCTTTTGGCTCTGCTTTAGCTTTGGGTTTGGGCTTAGGTTTAGGCTTAGGTTCCGGTTTTGGGTTTTCAGATTGGACCGCGTTCCCTTCAGCTTGCTGGGCCTTACTCTTATCCTTACCCTTCCCTTGATCCTTACCCTTTCCCTTGCCCTTCCCCTTATCAGTACCCTCCACGTGTTGAAACGGACAATTCTTGCGATAGCAACCCCCAGGCTTACTATAAAAATGGCAGATGCCTCTCGATGTAGACCCCTGAGATCCGCCAGTGCCTGCATAGTTCACTGTTGGAATATCCTTGTTGGCACCTTGACGTGACTCCTCAATCGTTGTTCTGAGGCGCTCCATGCCTTCCACTGTGGGCCTAGAGGAAGCTTCAGGAAAGAGACGCAGCAAGTTGAGTCTCATGTGAAAAGTGTTTTATTTGCCTTTGTGGACCGCATGCTGGTTAACGAAGAACCCAGCGTGATCCCACGAAGTGAGTGAAATGGAAGTTAGCAGATTCGGTTCAAAATTTCTTGGATATTAAAGTCGGATTTCAAAGTCAAGAGTATTGTGAAAACTTGAAAGTGTTCAGAATATATTTGAATCATCAATCAAGTCATGCAACACTCGCTCAAGCAGTCCCTTGTTTTTCTTGGCAGAGGCAATGGGGCACGAGTCGGATTAGATATATGACGTTGGCCACACCCGGACGGCAGTGCCTGTCACTGGTGATGGACACAACTTTGAGCATGCCCGATTCTCCCCCGGTGTGGGTGGGTGGGAGAAAAGATCAAAACTTGGCAGCACGCTTGAGGTTCAATCGGCGTCATGGGGCAAAATGTCAACAAACTCAAGCACCATGTGGTAAGTCAACGTGTCATGCCAGAGTTTATCAATTTGACAAACAAAGGAAAGCATGCTTTGTTTTTGGGGATCAACAAAAACAATCCACATTCTACAAATAAAGGTGTTGCCCATTCTGGGCCGGTACCTTATTTGCCTTTGTGGACCGCATGCTGGTTAACGAAGAACCCAGCGTGATCCCACGAAGTGAGTGAAATGGAAGTTAGCAGATTCGGTTCAAAATTTATTGGATATTAAAGTCGGATTTCAAAGTCAAGAGTATTGTGAAAACTTGAAAGTATTCAGAATATATTTGAATCATCAATCAAGTCACGCAACACTCGCTCAAGCAGTCCCTTGTTTTTCTTGGCAGAGGCAATGGGGTACGAGTCGGATTAGATATATGACGTTGGCCACACCCGGACGGCAGTGCCTGTCACTGGTGATGGACACAACTTTGAGCACGCCCGATTCTCCCCCGGTGTGGGTGGGTGGGAGAAAAGATCAAAACTTGGCAGCACGCTTGAGGTTCAATCGGCGTCATGGGACAAAATGTCAACAAACTCAAGCACC